CCTGGCACAATAGATATTTTAAAATACTGTGAATTTCTAAATGAAAAGAGTTAAACCATGTTTATGTTAAATATTGCGGACAACAATCGAAATAAGATGAAACATATTTAAAATTATTAGTTTTAACACTTATAAAAATCTTAGCTTTGCGTAAGATTAAGGAATAAAAGTTACCATGTCCTGTGCACTGAATTAAAAGTTTAATATTTTTCTGATCAATTTGACATATTTTAATTACTGAAACCTTTAGAATTTATGATTTATCAAACCGTAAAGCTGTTAGTTCCAGACTCATTTCGATATATTTGTTCTTTTCAAATGTATTCAAATAAAAAGTACGATGGTACGATAACACTGAAATATAGGTTTAAAAAAATCTTATTTAAAACAAGATATTGCGGTTTTCTTATGCAAGGGTACAGAATTGGTTAACTGAATTCTATCCACCGATAGGGATCGAATCTCGGATTTTAGAGTTGGATGTCTGTTAAACTTACAGCTGACTCACCGGGAGTCCGTTTAAAATAAAAGGAAATATTTTTTAGATACTTGTACTCAAGCTTTACTAATGTTTTAATTCCAATTCCGAAAAATTATGTCTTTACGCCAGTTTCTACAAATATCGCGTGACTATGCACAAATTAAACCCCGAAAAAAGAAATAGCATTTAACAAGTTTTAAATTCACTTCCTTGCATGTAACATACGAAGCCTATTTCACTGATCGTAAACAAAAAAAACTTTTTCATAAAAGGAACAGTTTCAGGATTTTAAAACGTTTTAACTGCATAGGAAAACTTCTAAAATTTCTGTAGAGGTATCATCTTAATGTCACCAAAACAAAATCCACGTCCAAAGAAGGCATCATACATCATTGAAGTACACTGTAATCATGTGACTTTAACAGTAACTTTCAGCTACTTATGACCATAGACTTAGGAGACGGGGAGTCAAGGGGAGCAATTGCCCCCCCCCCCCAAATTCTGGTCCAAATAGTTTTTCGGACAAAAATCACCCAAAATATTCGGGCAAAAACTCCGTACATATCTATAACTTTTATATTTGAAAATTTATTATGCCTTTTCAAAAAATATCTTACCCACACGTGACATTTTCACTTGCGTCTTTTTAACCTTTTAGCGCCGTATGGTTCCACACAGAAGTCATTGAAACCTTTTTTTTTTCCAGCGGATTTAAACCTTTTAGTACATTATTTTAAGGTGGATTTTATATTTTTGGGCAAAACTTGCTTTCTCCCTCCCCCGGTTAAAATCAAGCCCCTACGCCTATTCTTTCATCTTCTACCACATTTAGATTTACCTGAAGGTGCTGGTCAATACTGAGACCCAGAGGAATTCTTAGAAAATCAAGATAGTAATTGTTTGCAGGCACTTTAACTTAATCATTAAGAATAGTATTTGTGTTTTGTATCTTAAAATAGATAAAATTCTCATTAATGTAAGTTTATAAATAGAAGATGTTAAGTTTTTCCTGAAATATTGTATATAGTGTGGACTTGTTTGTAACTTATGTTTTACTTTAACTCATCTTGAAAAATGGGAAGGCTGAATTGTTTTTATCATGGCCATTTCTGTATCATTAATGAAGTAAGAATATTTTTTGTAAGTAACAGAATAAAAAAAGAGCATTATATTAATGTCACCAAAACAAAATCTATGTCCGAAGAAGACATCATACATCATTGCAGTATTTCGATACACTTACTGCAAAACATCAGGAGAATGTTATTTGGACCAGTCAAAAGCGCTTTTGGAAAACGTTCACAACGTTTATGATTGACAAATAAATGAAGAATGTCTGAGAAAAGAGTTCATAAGAGTTAACTAAGCTACTTCGTAACAGCTTCTGCTTTTTAAAGATTCCATTGTTAGACAACAGTCCAGAACCGTTAAGGATTCTGGAGAGAAGGAGGTAACAAGGTTTAAAATGGCAAGCTAAAACCACTTACAAGATATTGCTGAAAACTCCTTCAAAACTTGTATTTTCCTTATTGTAAAACAGCCATGCTAACTGAAAAACGAATACTCCAATAAAACTTTTTCTGGAATTGCCTAAAATGTTACAATTCGAGAAGCAACATTTACAACTAAACCAGGTGAACTGGGTCAGATGTGGCTGATGGTTAGCCTACCAGACTGTGGATCCGAGGGTCATTAATTCGTATCCAGTTGCCTCCAAATCATGCTCCACACTTTGGGTTCGCTTAAGCATGACGGTCAAATCCCATTATTCGATAAAAGTTGTCCAAGAATCTAAAACTGGGTCGAAAATTCACATTTCAGCAGGAGAATGGCCCGAACTACAAAGCCAAAGCCACAGTGGAACGGTTTCAAAAATGAATGTCCTGTATTGGTCCAATCCAAATCCTGACTTGAATCCAATAGAAAAATTTTGGCAAGATTTGAAGATTGCAGTCCGTCAACGATTCCCAAAGAACTTGTTAGAATTGGAGCAGTTTTGCCAGGAAGAATGGGCAAACATTACACTATCTCATTGTCCAAAGCTGGTAGTGGCCTATCCAAAAAGACTCACTGCAGTAATTGTTGCCAAAGGTGCTTCCACCAAGCAGACTTGGGGGACTGAATATTCATGCAATCAGCAAATTTCAATTTATATACTTTCTTTGTACGTTTTGCTGACATTCAACCTCCTTCACACATAACAGTGTTAAGTATGATCATTGGAGTTGTTAATAAAAACAAATTCATCAAAAATTTTTTTTTACATTATTTGTATTACATTAAAATGTGACATTATTGGTAGGGGTGAATACTTTTGCAAGGCACTGTAACTTTATGCAAATATCCTAAATAAAAGAAACTCCACATTAATTATTTTTATAATAAAAATTTTTACAGACTTCTACTAGGTAAATGCTGTAAGGTTCTTCTTGCCTGCGCAGAGCTGTTGAAAGGAAGACAAATCTTAGAAAAAAGGTTTTCCTTGTGAATTTTTAACCTAATACTTGGTAGTTGATACAATAAATCTGAACATCACCTTATAAACATATGAGCTAAGCTTTCAGGTCAGAGAATCTTAGGAGCTAATTATATCTTTCCCTAACTTTGAGCTAATGGCAAAAAGAAGATGAACAGGCAAGCAGTACCTGAAGCCACAAAAACTGTGTCCGGCTCTTCGAACGAGAATGATTGCTATTATTTTAAGCTCCCAGACCTGACAGTACGGAGTTTGTTCAACGGTATTGCAGCTGAGCCTTAAATCTTCCGATATGGATCTTGGCATGTTAGCGACCAGTCCACCGCCATCTTCAAAATACTACTTATAACGCAGTGAAAAGATTCTTTCAAAAAGCACACCAAAAGGGTTAATCCTTGTGGGACCCATGATTAGTGTGCTGTACTGTGGATCTGAGGTTCATGGCTCGCATCTCGTTCGTGCGTGCGTGCATTATAAGAGTGATGGTGGTTAAATCCCACTATTCTGTCTGACAAGCGTATTGCAAGAGTTGGTGGTGTCTGGTGTTAACTAGCTGCCTTCCTCTAATCTCTCATTTCAAAATTAAGGACGACTAACGCAGACAGTTGTCGTGTAGCTCTGCGCAAAATTCAACAAAACAATAATATAAATTCATCCTTGATTCTAAGTTAATTTCAGAAATGGGTGCGCAAAGCTACACAAATTGCTATCTGCGCATAGCCGTCCATAACTTTCAACTCATAGATAACTCTTGAGCTATTCTTGTCTTACCAACTAGTGAGATTAAACTATAACTCTTGGTTTGGTTTGTTATGGATTTCACGCAAAGCTACACGAGGACTATCTGCGCTAGCCGTTCCTAATTTAGCAGTGAAAGACTAGGGGTAAGGCAGCTAGTCATCACCATCCACCGCCAACTCTTGGGCTACTCTTTTACCAACAAATAGTGAGATTGACTCTCACATTATAACGTCCCCACGGCTGAAAGGGTGTGCATGTTTGGTGGGCTTGGATTCGAACCCGCGGCCCGCAGATTGCGAGTCGAGTACCCTAATCACCTGGCCTTGCTAGGCCCCTTTTACTCTTATAGCGCATCCATGATTTCAAAATGCAGGTTCACCAGTAGGACAGCTACGGACTTATGATATAGGTGTTCCAGGGTTCGATTTCCTGTGGTAGACACAGAATATAGCTCTATGTGCTTGAAAACAAACAATCAATCAAAACCAAAATTCAGAGTTCGTTTTTGCGTCAACGGACCACAAGCAACGAACCTTTAGATTTAAAGACCAAGCACGCCAGTCACTGAACTATACCAGGCCAATTAAGCTAATAGTTTCAGAAAATGGCTAAGATTAAAACCAAATTACAAGATATATATTGTTTTTATATTTGCTTAATGCACCACATTTAACTGTGTTTAAAACATTATACTCCCCATATGACTTTTCTTAACGTCGACTGTGTCAGCACCTATAAATTTGCTTTCAGTTTAAACATATAGTTAATGTACGAAATATACCCGAAAAACGCTTATTTTAGTTTCAGAGTAATTCACGCTGTAGTGATTTTGTTTTACCTTTCAGGTTGTATTTATCGTGTTTTGATAGGAATCTTTCAATATAACTGATCTGGTTCACAGTAATAGTAAAGGATCAAATATTATGAATACACGTTAAACACCAACTTGCAATATTTCGCCATTTTCTTTTCAACAATTCTGATTTTAGACGGTGACGTGACATCAACGATAATAAAGCTTTAATTAACTATTACTGTTTACGAATAAATAATATAGTTTTATTTTCAGCCAGAGTAATAAAAATTCCCTTCACAATGGTAAACTTCTAGCAAATACATAATGCCGCGTTCTTTGGGTCGCTTGGTGTCATTGCACTATAAATACGTTATTGAGAAAGCTCTTCTAAAGTTCTTGCACTAGATGCGCATGCGTCTTATGTGGCCTTCTTCACCTGTATGAAAAAAAGGGAACTGACTTACCTGACGCATGCTTAGTCTTGACACAGACGTTGCTGTATTTGGGATGGAAAGCAGTTGTAATTGGTATTGTTTTAGAAGAAGTTTTTGCCAGATGTGATTTCTTAGCCATTAGTAATCAAAAGCATAAGGAATGTGGTAGAATCGAAACGTGTGTTTAGCGAGGTAAGTAATCTAGGTGTGGTGTTATATATAAATGTTATATACTTAACTGGAAGTATTAGACGCTCAAGTATTTTATGATTGACCAGTACTGTACTACTTCCAGCGTAACGCTAGTATTACTAGTAATAGTAATATAAATTAGGTGTGAGTAAATCATTCTAAAAATTGTGTTACAGTAAAGTAACGTAAGCTAATTTATAGAAAGCCTTATCCACATTTTTCAGCCTACATGTTTAGTTTCAGGCTCAACCTTAAACTTTGTAAGTGTCTACTGTATATACACACATACGACATTTAGAAGTTTCTGTACCAGTTAGTACATAACCTGTTATTCCAGCTCACCCACATTGATGACGTCACTCGACCCTAGAGAAATACAACTAACCACAATGTATGACAAGAAAAATCCAAGTGCCCATGACAGGAACTTTATTTTTTCAAGAGTAAATAATCTTTATTTCATTATACTAACTTCCTAATGTTTAACTGTGTCATTTTATTCAGTCTACATTTTAATGGTTTGATATTGTTGACCATTGTTTATGTCCTCTCCGAAGCATGACTTTTAAACTGTCTCTTTCTAACCCATTTGAAAGTTTTGTTTATTTGTTTGTAATTAAGCACAAAGCTACACAATGGGCTATCTGTGCTCTGTCCACCACGGGTATCGAAACCCGGATTCTAGGGCCACTGGGGGGGGGCTAGTTGAAAGATTTACATTTTATTACAGTGCTCCCAGGAAGCCTTTGTCGTGACCATTAATTGTGTAAAAGATAAAATTCGAATATTTTGTTTCAAATGGGAAGGCTCGTTACAGCACCCCCACCTCCAGTAGCACAGCGGTATATCTGGGGACCTACAACGCTGGAAACCCGTGGTGGGCAGAGCACAGATAGCCCATTGTGTAGCTTTGTGCTTAATTACAAACAAACAAATCGTTACAGAGACTGCACCAGGGGAGATACCATGTTTTCTACCGTGAAGATCTTAACGTTAAAAAATCCCAGGTCAAACACAATCACAATATAAATTTTCCAAACCTGACATGCATACGTGTATATATAGAGATTAGGTTTGCCCGCTACACATGCCCCTATTTTCTTAACATTAGCGGTTGTTTTTTTCGTGAAGAGGGTTAGATACTCAT